AATTGATCGTAATATAAGCACATTTGAAGAACTGCCTGGTTTATGTAAGTTGACCTGAATTTAACAGTAATTTTCCAAAAAAGGTAAAGTCTTGTCTTTGATAAAGGGCGTGGTCAAGTTAAGCGCAAAAAATACAAATAAGGTTTATTTAACAATGAAGATAAACCTTTAAAGTATTCATTGTTACAACAATGAGGGGTTTATATTCAACAATTGGGTTTTAGAATTGATCGTAATATAAGCACATTTGAAGAACTGCCTGGTTTATGTAAGTTGACCTGAATTTAACAGTAATTTTCCAAAAAAGGTAAAGTCTTGTCTTTGATAAAGGGCGTGGTCAAGTTAAGCGCAAAAAATACAAATAAGGTTTATTTAACAATGAAGATAAACCTTTAAAGTATTCATTGTTACAACAATGAGGGGTTTATATTCAACAATTGGGTTTTAGAGTTGATAAAACGAACTTAACCTAATAAATGATTTTTTCACATTAAGAAATTTTTACGTATTTATATTCGTAATTTTCTGTTAATTTAAAAAATATTAAATCATCTCTTTTCAGTTTCCATGTTAAACATTACTCGTCTTACCCTTAGTCACAACAAAATAAAATGTAAGTATTTAAATAATAGCACTTCAAGTTATTATTGTTGCATTTCAAATAATTTTTCAGCTGTACCACCTGGTTTAGCCAATTTAACAAATTTGGAAATTTTAAATCTTGCAAACAACCATTTAGAAGAACTACCCCTATCTCTATCGTCAATGCCAAAACTTAGAATCTTAAATTTGTCATTTAATAGACTGTATGGTTTGCCAAGGGGTTTTGGAGCCTTTCCTATTCTTGAAGTTTTGGATTTAACTTACAACAACTTAAATGAGAAGAACTTACCTGGAAATTTCTTTATGATAGGTAAACATAATAATATTCCTTTTAAAACAAAAAAAAGATAAAAAACTTTTTAGAAACACTTAGGGCTTTGTATATGGGAGATAATGACTTTGAATACATCCCTGCAGATATCAAGAATTTAAAAAATTTACAAATTGTAAGTGTTGCTTCATTTTTGCTAGATACTACAAGATAAATACTATATTATTTTTTAGCTTGTTCTCCGTGAAAATGATTTAATAGAATTACCAAAGGAAATTGGTGAGCTAACAAGATTAAGGGAGTTACATATTCAAGGCAACAGATTAACAATTTTGCCCCCTGAATTTGGAAATTTGGATATGGCTGGACATAAATCAGTTTTTAAATTAGAAGGCAATGAATGGGTCACACCTATTGCAGATCAATTAAAACTTGGAATCAGCCACTTACTTGATTATCTTAAAAGTGAAACATATCGCATGTAAGAATTAAAAACTTATCACAAATAAGTTTTCCACATTTAAGAATTGTTTCACATATTAAANATTTTTTTGATCTTTTATAAAAGACTACTTTTAATATAATAATTTTTCCTTTTTTGATCTGCCTGTTATTTCTGATTAATTTTGTTTTGACTATAATTTTTATACAGAAAAAAAAACACTTAATTTGTAAATTTCAATCACATTCTACATTTGCTTCGTCTTTAGAAGTTATACAATGAACTTGTTTAAATTGCTCATTGTATAACATTTGGCGAAACAATTGTCAAGTGTGATTAAAATTTAATTAACAAATTGTTTTTTTTTTCTATATTCATTATGAGTTTCAACCAAGTAATCCTAGACTATTTTATGTTTTGACTTTTTATGTCATTAATAAGACATGCCAACAAATTTACATGAATATTTAAGTAAAGGAAGCCTACAATATTCCCCAAAAAACAGTAAAAGTGAAGAATATCAGGAAGAGCACAATAAAATTTCTACTTTACTATCAGATTTAGCATCAGTTTTAGAAGATAAAGCTCGTTTAGAAAGTGATTACTGTTATCTGAAGTTGGAATACGGCTCTTTAATTGAAGAAATGGAAAAAAAAAGTAGTAATTATCAAAATGAAAAGGCTTGTCTAATGCAACATTTGGAAGAACTTGAAAGGGAAATTAAAATTAAAGAATTAAAAGAAACGACGTTTAGAGAAAAAGAAAATATATTTAATTACGAGAAAAAAATCTTCACAACACAGGTAGGAACTAGTACATTTTTTTTAAGTTTTACTTTAACACATTTAAGATTACTATTTAATTTTAGATAGTTCATTTAAAAGAAGAAATCCAAAATGAAAAATCAGAAAGAAATAAACTGGAAAAAAAATTATTGGAAGAGATGAAATTTCTTCATAATCAACTCAAAGGCGTCCTTCTAGATTGGCTTAAAACAAAAGACACATGTACAAAATTACACAAGAAATTTACAAAACATAAAACCAGTCGAAATGCTACCATTAATACCTTCAAACGAGAGGCAAATCTACAGGAATCATTTACTCAGTATCAAAAGTCCAATGTAGATAATAAATCCAGTCAAACAAATCCCTTATCTGATGAAAAGTATGACTTTAAATTATAAATGCATTAGACTTAGTAATTAAGTATTCTTTTTAGTTTTGCTAAAGGACTTCAGTACAAAGTAAACAAAGAATCGAATATATTAGAAGAACTGTTCTTTAAAAGAAAACCTTTCGACTATTTATAGTATTTTTCTGGTGAGACTTCTTGCATTATTCTTTTAGTTAATGAGCTATGTTATTATAAAATTGTAAGTTACTGTCTGATTATTTAAATTGCTAACACCACAGTTTCAATTAATAAATGAATACTTTTTAATTTAAAAAGCGCGTTTTTATTAATAAAGACAAACGTAGAAATCAAAATTATTATAAACACTAAATCAGTCTG